TATATATATACATACATATATATAATTATATGATATGATATGATATGATATGATATGATATGATATGATATGTATATATATATATATACCAGCAGGACAGAGGTCTGTCCATTTCGAAGTCTTCTTGAGCTTGAGCAGCCGGAGCAGCTTAAAATTTCCAAGCTGAAGCACAGCCCTCGGGCACACTGCTGAGCTCTGAGCACGAGGCATAGGCAGATACTCGTTGAAGCCAATGTTGTAAAAGCTGCGCTGTCAGCTTTTCCTGGCTAGCCTGCTCAAGATAGCATAGTAAGCATAGGGAACGCTCCATACCACGTTAGTGCAGCCTCGTCAGCATCAGTTAACACACGAATACCTTGCACATCTGCACTGCAAGCAGCCCGATCCATGGATGAGTCTTTGGTGTCCGCTTCAGCTCAACAACGCTTTAAGCGATAGCTTAGGCCCCGGACAGTGCGGCAGGTTCAGCACACAAGCCTCTACCTGTCAATCGAGAAGTATGTAGAGGTTCCAACTGTGACATACTGTGACGATACACATTGCAAAGCCTCAGCGTCATCGAGGCCATTTGCCAGTACTGCTGCTGCTGCCCAAATCCCAACCACCCACCATCCACCATGGCTGGGCCTCGCAATTTAATGTTCAAGCAGTCTTAGCATGTAACAGCATACCGCAGCGCGTAACTGTAGATCACAGATCACAGACAAGTTTAGAATGGGTTCGAAGTCGACACTCTACCCTTTCGTTTCTGCGACTTGAAGTTGATAATTTGGTAAGGACTGCAAGCATCTCAGAGAAAAGCCTCAAGCCCTGCACCACCACAAACACCACAAAACAGAAACCCGTTCAAACGAAATACAGACAGAACCCCAAAGAACAAGACAACCGCAAGCCGAACAATCCGCAGGAAATCCAAACCATGAAACCCAGCGGACCTAAAGCACCAAAACGAGCTGAGCTATAACATCTACTTTCGACCTATCTATCTATCCATCTGCCTATCAATTGATCTACATATCTACGTGTCTACGCATCTATCTATCTATCTATCTATCTGGTTAAACCATCTATCCACACATCCGTTCATCCGTCTGTCTGTCAATCTATCTGCCTTTCTTTCTAACCTATCTATCTCTGTCTCAATATCCATCTCTGCCTGTAGATGTCTGTATAAAAAGAAGCAACTCAGATCAGCCTCTTCAAAGCTAAAGCATGTGAACATTCGAGAACTTCTCGCTTGCCTGCAACGGTTCGTGGCTTGCTGCATGGTGGCATTGCTTCCGCTGCCATCGTCTCCGCATTCTCTGCTCGGGGCCAGGTCTTCTTTGCAAGGTCAGAAGCGGAGCCCTGGCAAAGCAGTGTCATTCTGTTGTCTGGCTTGTTCTTGCTTCCTCGAACACCATGGACAGCTTCCTATCTGCACGTGGAACCGAAATCCAAGAGCTTCGCGGAGCTGTTTCCACTCACACTCGCGCGCACGCATGCATAAGGCGACTGGGTCTGAGCTGCTTTTCATCCGAGTCTCTGCGATAAGTCACGAGCTGTCTCAACATGGAAGCCCGACTTTACAGGTGTGCAGGACCGCAGGCAACGTATTTGTGCATGGGGCGGTGCCTGCCGAGGCTGCACACTTCCATGTATTTCCAACGAGAGCGAACTCAAGACAATGGTCAGAGAACGTCAAACAAGTCGCCGGACTGTCTGTGCAGGATACTCTTCGGGCTCCAGATTAAAGCCCGGAGACAAAATTATGCAAGAATTGAATTTGTTGGCTTGGTCCAGCTAGCTGGTCACAGGCAACTTCGCTTCAAGCCTCCACATGCCACATCTTCACAGAAGTCTCGTACGGGACGAAGAAGGGGTTCCCGACGTCGGCGTCCTGCGCCTCCTCCAGTGTGTTGATCCAGGGGTGGCCGCCTCGGGTGGTCGCGACGTGCTCGGAAGCGATGTTGTGGCCAAGGTTCCAGTACCTCGCATGCTCCGCTCCATCCGGATTCTGGGGTGGCAGGCCGACGACCGATAGGACGCCAACCGTAAAGAAGCCACGGCAGTCGTTGCACCAAAAATTTTCCGACAGGTGGCTTGCCAAGGCTGTCGATGCTGCCACAGCATTCCTGGACATCGGGGAGGGCTGATTGTGCATCGAAAAGTGGATGAGGCTCCACAGTAGGTTCGGGCGATGAGTCCAGGACCCCACGAGAGCCAGTGCCTCTGCAATGCGGCCATCCGTGCCCTCGCCAGCCTCGCACTCCTCCGGACTCAAGGCTGTCAAGTCGACACCGGTCTGGCGCCACATGCTGGCATAAAGTTCCTCCAGCGTCGGGCACTCGCCAACCAGATGCGAAGGCCACAGAGCCTTGAAGATGTTGTGCGTCACCTTCCTGACTTCGGCAGTGAAGGTGGCCATAGGACCCGTCCAGTACCTGCAGTGCATCGCGGAGGCAACGTCACCTGGGAAAACCAGGAAGGCGGTCTGTAGAGACTCTAGCGCCCACTCTGTGCTCATGCCCGACCTTTGCATGGAGGTGCGTGGGCAGCGGGAGCTGTCCCACCAGGGTCCAGCATAGCACACGTCTCGGGGCCGCTCTTTGACGCAGGTGGAGGGCAACACATCAAAGTCCGGTCCCGTGCAAACCAGACCAGGTGCACAGGCAAGCGGCCGTTCCATGGTGCCCCCGTTGGGGTACGATGCCCCGGTCTGGGCTCGCCGCACGAAGGCGTTGGCAAAGCGTCCATGCGTAGCCAGGGTGGGGATACAGCTCTGACCTTCCTGGCGATACTTGACACAGCGACCGTGAGAGCTCTTCCACAGGTGCGTCTCAGAGTAGCCCTCCTCAAGCTGGATGCCGTTGGCCACCCCGACCGTCGAGCTGCCACAAATCCTGTCCCGGGTCAACTTCAAGGCTTCCACGGTGACGTTGCGGACACTGCCCTGGGATGCAATCGCTTCGATTTCCGCATAGTACTTTTCGCCGCACAGCTCGAAGTTGGGAGTGTGCCCCTTCTTGCCCATGGCCCAAGCACCCCACTTCTCATGCGTGATGAGCATGCACCACTCATCCTCTTTGCAGGCATTGCGATCCAAGTAGCAATCCACGACCGGTGGGATGGGGCACTCCCAATTGTCGCAGGTCATCTTGATGAAACCGCCTTTCTTGGCCACCCGCGCTCGGCCTCCATCGACATAAACGAGGTCCATGGAGGCTCGGCTGCAGGCCGTGATGAAGGGATTGGCGTACCACATCTGCCCCGCGGCACCATTGTACTTCTCCTGTCCACACCACACAGGTTCCAGGCTCCCAGTCTCAGAGTTGTTCTCGGTGCTAAGCCTGCGCCCTCCCAAGGCCTTGCCAGCTTCAAGCCCTTGCAGAGCTCGTGCCTTCCGCACGGCCGGAGAAGCTAAGGCCCAGTACTCACCGGGCGATGCCAAGCACCCTGGAAGCATGGCAAACAATGCGAGCATCATTGCACTCTCTCTATCTCCAGACTGGGAGAGTATTGGCGAGTCAGCCCACCCAGCTGAGCTTTGAGCCCAAATGGCTACTGCAGGCATGCAGACCATTCTCTTCTCCATGTGTACTATCAAGAAGAGCAGCGCAGGCATTCTTGCGAGATTTATTTCACCAAGCTTGCCGTCCACAGGCAGCTGGCCTGGCCAGATGATAGCTCGAAGGGTGCATACCATAAGCTGACAGACAGAGTATCATGCAGACTTCGGTCTTCAATGCTTGTCGCTTGTCGCCTCCATCTCAGGTACATAGTTATCGGTGAACACGAGACCGGCAACGCACACCTTGGAGCCCGGCCCATCTCAACGCTCCCCATGTGCCTACTGCTGCACACCGAGCTGGTGAAAGGATCCGGCCATCAACCCCACGCAGATCAGCAATGCCATAGAGAATCTCCAGAGCCTGCCTGACAACAACGACAGAAGCACCAAGAAATTTCGTCAAAAAACTGATCCCTGAGAAGATAAGCCGCTGGCTAGACTGCTCCAGCAAGCATAGGCCCACCAAGGCAGGCGCCAAGGCCACAAACCTTAATCAAGTTTAGGCTTCTTTGGGCACAGAGATTTGTTAGAGTCTTTGTATCGACCCCACTGAGCTCTGTTCTTCTCCCGAATGCTAGAATGCTAGTTTTACGGCGCAGCTCGTTTGTGTTCTTTCGGGCGTTCCGCAGCCGGACATGATGGGAATCGCTATAGTGTTCCACGGACGGGCATTCCCGGACTTTGCTGGCTCTGCGCAAAGACCAAGGTACGCTGTGGGATGCTGGCGTCGTGCTCTTTTCGATAAATGATGCCTCTATAGAGGTGTAACTCGGCTCCAACAACAAAATTGGGGGGAGCACCGCTGTGCTTAAACACCATGTATACTGGCCACGAGCTGGCAAGAGAGTACAGATCTGGTACGAGTGCTTTGATGCAAGCATGCGTATCTTCGAAGTGAGCAGGGCTCCCACGTCTGCAGATATGTAATATATGAATGTATGTGTCCAGCATCTGCAGCATTGGAAAGCATGTAAACAGTGTATTTCTTGCAGGCTCACGCATGCTGAGCCGGTGGCAATGTGCAATCTGCTGCATTTGCAAACGCAATATTTTGGTCCTTTCGGCACACCGGCCATAAATTCCGTGCTGTAGATTCTGCAAACTGCTGACTATGTTTTCCATGGTGCAAAACTAATTTGTTATTATTGTCTGTGCTCAGACTTGGACCCACAAAGACCCCACATCCTGCATGTTGTTCTACCTACCACGCATTCGTCTATTGGACAGTGCAAGTCTGGTGAGAAGACTTCCAAGCTTTCTTGAGGCTCGCGCACAGCGGCTTGGCAGGCCCCGCTGATCACATTCACCTGCACAGATGGAACACCTTCTCGAAAGGAACGGCGCATGTGCCTTCATAAAGGCGCCGTGTCCGAAGCAGTAGAACTCGGTTGCAGAGTTGCATGCGCATAGCAAAACCGTTCGCGACACACGGCCAGGATGCTGTGACTTCACACCGGCCCTGACAGCCAAGGCAATCGAAATTGCCTCACCCAGGTCTGTCGTGACACAGGCCACCACCTGCAGCGCGAAGCCCCCTCTCTCTGTAGAGCGCCCCTGCCCTCTGAGGCCGGGACAGCGCTGCAGGCGACGATGCCCACAGTGGCGGACCTGGAACGCTCTGCAACGAGTTCTTCAGAGACTTGAGGGGCTCTCTTCGGGTCGAATTTGAGGCCGGGGCTGCCATGGGCCAGACTGTTGGTGCCGAATGGGTGCCACCATAGACGAAGTCAGAATCGGATACACCCCGATCACGGCAAAAGCCATGACCACCCGAGCAAAGCTTCCGAACGGCCCATGTGGCAAGTCGAGGAGGACGTTTGAAGAGACTTTGGGACCGATAGCGATGTAGGCAATGCCAGAGAAGCCAATGAAAAGCAAAGCCACAAAGCCAAAGCTAATGCCCAGGCATGCCGCGAACCGGCGTGGGCTTCTGTGATCCATTTGCTCGTACATTGGCAATATACACATCTGTACTACGGCAGCTTGCATGAGAACGCTGACCATAGCCAAGTCTCCTCGCCCAAATCCCAGCAAGCAGCAATCCTCCACATCCTCGAACTTCCCGGGGTCTCCCCTCCAGCCCAGGGAAAAGGCTGCAACCAACACGCAGCACACGTAAAGGTTCGCAGCGATGCTCAGAGTGGATGAGAAGGCAAGGTGCTGTTGATCCATGAAGCAGAGAGGCAGAACGACCGCAGCACCTGCGAAGACTGCGAAGTAACGCTCTAAGGGCAGGAGGCGTTGGAGACTGTCGGCGATGACCACCAGGTACCCGACCTGCGGGAGCTGCAACAGTCTTCAACTTGCGACCAGGGGATGGTTGCATCTATCTGGATATTACCTGCAAAGTGTCCGATTGACTTCAAGATTGTGGTTGATGCTGCTCTCTCACTCGCAGCCTGTGGCCAGCATTCAGCTTTCAACGGATTGTGGCAAGGAGGTGCTGGCTGTGGCACTTGAATGTTCTTTCATGTCAACCCGCCCACCAAGCACATGAAGACCGTGATCCAAATCATCGCTTCGCACAGAGCGCGGGCAGCTCGGCCAGCATGAGGGAGGCGCCCAAGCAGGCCGCCGAGATCGAAGACCTGCTCTTTCTCCTTGGTGTTCTGTTAAGGGGCCACAAATGCCGAAGTAGGCCCGCGCAGGAAGATTGAATTTATTTAATCCCACTTTGAACATCCCGAGCTCCGCCGCATACACCAAAATAAGGTTTGTCCCGACGTTCGCTGCCAACACCACCAGGGTGAGCCTGGTAGGTGGAGGCTGACCACACAGAAAGGTATCGCCAGTGTAAGAGCTAATTAGAGGGTGGTCGGCTGAGATTTGTGCGAGTTTGCACAGGTCTTTGACCCGCTTTGGTCACATGTCCAGTTGTGTGCTTGTGTGCGTGCATTTTATTCTTTGAGGGAGGGGTGATGATGGTGGTGATGTTGGTGCTGGCGCCGGCGATGCAACTGCAGATGGTTCCAGGAACGGTAAGTTTCAGCCCGCCAATATCATGTCCCCATTGAAGACTACTGAGACGTACCAGGACTGAGATTGCATCATAGTCAAACTTCCGTTTCATCTACTCTAGTTTGTCCCGTTCCCAATTGTCTTATGACGACACACATCCGAAGTGCAACAAGTGTGTCAAACGGTTCTGGACTTCGCAGACTCTACGGCCTGTTACAGATTGTTATGCATGCCTTGGCTTGAGCGTCAGTGTCACTGATACGACCGTGGTACAGTCAGGACGATAACAGCAATCATACTGGGAGCTGTTCTGTCTGGGACTGTCTGGGTATGAGCATAAAACCTATGTACTGAGAAACCAATGTTCGAATAGAAATCAGTTCCAAATCGCGGAAGCCATGATGATGGCGGCCATGCCCAATGCACTGATCAAAAACCATTATGGAGCGCAGTAAGAAAACAGGCACATCAGGCACACAATTCACTCATTGTCTTTGCAGCCTGGATGGAAGCTGACGAACCACTTCCACAAGAACCAAGTTTGCACCAAGAAGCATGGCTGCAGGCACGAGAGATGCGCCCGCAGTCGCCCAGGGGAGACTGAGGATGCCACAGCCCAGAGTAGCATTGATCCTTCGGTTCTTACTGAGTCTTACTGGCCAAGGAGTCAAGAGTAGAGTTTTTGTCTCCTGCATTTCAGCTCCCAAAGGCACTACAGGGCAGGTGTCCACGCCACTACTTGTCCCCTGCAAGTCCCCTCAAGAGTGGAAGATGGTGGAGTGGTGTCTTGGGGGGCCTAGGGACAAGCCGAGAGATGAGGGAGCAGAGAGCCCTCTACTGATGGCAGTCGGGTCTGGACTTTTTGGTGCCATCCTGTGGAGTGTGGTGTCCGTGTTACTCTTATTGAGAAGCTTTGGCCTTAGGGAGGTCAGGGGCAGGGATAATCCTAAGAAGGACCTGATAAGTGTCGAATCTGGCCCCTTTGAGGCAATATTGAATAGTCCCATACCGTACCCCCTTTCCCCTTACCCCTCTAAAATTGTGACTTCCTGCCACTGTTACTGTGCGTTACTGTTGCTTTGTTCTTGCAAGCATGATGCTGGTGTCGTTGTTTCTGTCTTCATCCTCGTTGCTATTGCTGATCGTCTTGGCGGTGCTGCCGTCGCTGCTTCTGTTTTGATGTAGTCACCGTTCGGCTTTCTGGCCTGCTTTCCGCCCTATTTGCTAAAGCAACAGCCTAGCTCCAGTAGCTTTGCTGAGGTGTGACAAGACCAGGCTCAAGTTCAGGATCAGGGCCAACTGGGACGCCCCATGCTGCTGCTCAAGGAGTGGGCTGTCCAGGCCCTCCATGGGCTCCCCGCTTGACAACCGGCCTTGTGTCCTTATGACGTTGTTGAATCTTGCCGCGTCCGGTGGCACAGTGGGCACAGACTATGGAAGCTCGCGAGTCAGCCAGCGTGTCTTGGCTAGATGTCTACTCATGATTCCTCTACCTTGTCAAACAATCTAGAATCTATTCCTGCTGCCGCCATCCGCCATTCCGGCAGCTTTCCGCCATGTTCTGAGCCATCACCCATCTAGGCTACGGCAAAGCATGCACCGCCGCCGTGACTGAAACTTCAACACCTGCATCTTCATCAGGCGCATGGATTTTTTTGCGCGGGTTGAGAGTCAAGGAAGGTCATCCTGATTCCAACACAGCACATCAATTCTCGAACAGCAGAAGTTTACTGCCGTTCGAAATCGAAAAGCTTTCGAAAACATGCATGCCAGTTGAAGTTCTACAGACATTCGCAGAAAGTCCCGAGTTCCTCCAAACGGCCCCTCTCAGACTTCTTCCAGCCGTGTGCCTGGCAACATGCAGCTGCCAAAGTTCTGTGTCAGCACAGTCCACCGAATCCTTAGGTGCACACACGATCACCCGGACTTGAAGCACAAGATCGCCACTTGGCCTGTTCCACAGTTTTTGAGCCAAGCTATTGCCGCAACACGCACTTCTGCCATCCACTTAACATACAGCTGCCATGCTCGCCTAGGTAGAAGTAAATGAAGTGCTTCCTCGGTGGCGGGGCAGCCGTTGCAAGTCTGTGGAGACAGGGCATGTCCGGGCATGAGACAAACACATCGTTCACTACGGCCACAAAGCTGCGTCTCATGTGTCACATAGGATCCGAAATTGCGCCCCACCACGCAATGCCAAGTGGGATTGTACCTGTTTACACCCACAGTCAAGCTGCGAAAGCACTTGTCCACGCCAACGTTTTTTGTTATGTTCCATACCATCACAACTTCGTGCAGCTGTGAACAAAGACACGTGATGTTGTTAGCCGCGGCGACTTGCCTATGAAGCTAGGAGCACTTCTTGTCAAACTCCTTTTTGATGAAGGCTGCAATGTCCTGCACGTAAATTGTATAGGCAGGCCAGACAAGGACTCTCGTCCGGGTGCACGAAGCAGTTGTCAAGATGAGGCTGACCCATTGCAGTGAATAGCCAAGCACACACTGTCCTTCTCGATGTTGTACTTCTCCAGTGCCTGTGTTGCGCAGTCGATGGCATCCTGCTGCATGTCCTCAGCCATGTCTGCGTTCTTGATGACCTGCAGTCAAAAGCAACAAACTTTCCTTCACGGTGACTCCCGCTGGTGAGCAGGAAGGGCAGGGATCATAAAGGTCTGGTGGTATGGTGCTGAAAAGAAAATCCAAAGAAGACAAGAAATGTGCAGAGGCAAACGACAAGCTCGAGACCCGCCAACAATGCCGAGCCACAGCCTTGCGATCCGCCATTGCAGGAGGAAGTGCTACTTAGCTAGCTTACTGCTTTCCGGGTGCTTGCTGGTCCGTTTGGGCCTTGCTGGCTTCGAAGAGAGATCGAGTGTGCCAGCATTCTCAAGCTTGCACTTGCTGAATCTGTGACTGGACAGTGCAGCAGCTTCTTTGTCCGGCTGTAAGTATCGGTGGCGAACCTGAGTCCTCACAATCAGTTTAGCAGGATGCCGTCGTACTTGGTCTGGAACCTCGGGCGAAGGAAAGGGACCGTGCCAGCGGGGCAACAGTCAGAAACGAGACGGCGCAAGGTGACACAGCCAAACCGTGAACCTGAAGCCTGCTGAGGTTTGGAAATGCTTTATCGGGGTGTTGTCCTTCGCTACCGGAGCCGAGGGGCCACTTCATGCCGTCCTCCTTCCTGAGCCTGTGGGAAGATCCGACCCTGCCGCGGCGGAGCTTTCGGTACTGCACGCGGCCGCCTGGCCGAGACAGGTGCACGTAGAAGTCCATGCCATAGATGCCGGTGCCAGGGTCGTACTTGATTCCCAAGTCAATGTGCTCGGTGATGCCGAAGCCAAAGCTGCCGTTGCGTGCGAAGTTTTTCTTCCGGAGCTCGTATTCCTTCACCTTCAGCCCCTTCTCAAGGATCTCCTCCGCCTTCTCGCCGCGGACTGTGACGTGGCATGCGATCTTCTCGTTGCGGCGGACGCTCCACTGACGGATCGTCATGCGAGCCTTGGAGAACACGGGCTGCTGCTCCGTAAGCTGCTCAAGCACCTTTGCTGCTCGCGTCAAGCGGTCACCACTCTCGCCTACGCTGATGTTGAGCACCAGCTTCTCCACGCGGATCTGTCGCATCGGATTCTCCGATTTGTCCGCCAT